CTTCTTCTTCTTCTTCTTCTTCTTCTTCTTCTTCTTCTTCTTCTTCTTCTTCTTCTTCTTCTTCTTCTTCTTCTTTGCTGGTATGAGAATATTTCTTTCGATTCATGGCTTAACTCACATCTGTCATCAATCAGCCTTTAAGAATCCGAGACACACCCTGCACTCTGTAAAGGCTTTCAGAGACAATGTTTTATTGAAATATTTAGAAATATTTAACAAACGCATAAAATCCAGTATGTCTGATTTCTTAAACTATACTTACCGATTTTTATCGACACTTATTATTTTGAGTCTACTTTATCTTTTCTTCCCCTTACCCTTCATTATGATATTATTGCTGAAGTTACAGAACTATTTTAGACGTGATTCGATAAACGACGTCTCTTATTTGATTCTCCAGCAGAGTGTTCTTGAACTAGATATTTTTGTGGACTTTTCAGGGCTCTCAACCCATATGACTCGTCCTCCTATCGGAGATGGGCTTTAGATTCGAAGGTCTCTCCTCTTAAATAACCTATTTACGTTGAAAAATGGTGCTAAATCCTACCAAGCTTTCACGTGAAAGTTGTCCATGGTCAAAGGGAGATTACTTACCACAGTCATCGTGCTCCCGTTTACTTCCCTTATGCTGTCAATAGTCATGTTTCCCGTGATACACTTCTCCACGTACTTACTGCCGTCCCACGTCATTGTATACTGGGGAGGGGGGGGAGGTGGTAACAAAATGGCATGAATGTCTCAATATCATTGTTATACAGGATGCATGGATGGTAGACCTTACAGGATTTTAAAAAATTATTTAATTACTTTATAGGGGAGGTTTATAACAATAAAATCATCATCTTTGGTTAGGAAATAATCGTACACTGTATTTCCTAACTTGTCCAATGTCCAATTCATCAGCAACATTTTATTTTTGTCATCATCATTTTTGTAATGGAGAAATAACTATTATGATGACTTGGGAATAAGTAAGACACATTTTGAGTATTCTAAAAAGAACTATACATAGAGCCAATTATCATCATTTTGAAAATTACGAAACAAATCGAAACAGACTTCCCTCACCCAAAAAAGGGAAAAAAAGAAGAAAAGAAAAGAAAAAAAAAGACTTTTTAAAAATCCCCCTACCGAACCACCGCCCCTTCCAAAAAAAAGTGAGCAAAAAATGACCGGTCGATCATCGTCAGAAATCTGTCACCCTTCAAGACGTTGTTTACCTTCATCATCATGCCTTCAAGAGTCTCGACTTCCGATTCCTGTCCCATCGTTAGTGTATACGTCTTAGGCTGCACCGACGGGTCGTTGGTTACCTTGGCAACGCACGTGACGTTATTGCCGTCTACAGAGTAAGTCACCTCGTACTCCCGCTTCTTAATCGTTTCGATCATGCCGTCAGGCACTCCTGGAATTTGAATTTGAATGTAGATGTTTTACGGCCCTACCGACACAATTTAGATTATTTCGAAATCGGGCTTTGACCCTGCCTCTCAGGGCCAACCTGGGCTGAGAAGTGCACAACTGTTATTAACGTACCGTCACAGGTGACGCAAAAATTACGTTAGGGCAGCATAGTAACATTTGTTAAAGAATGTCTGTGCGTCCCCAATCTTGTGCATCAGCCCCACAGCATGCCACAAGTGTATCGAAACAAATATATTATACATTTATCGAAAGGAACAGATCTTCATAAACTTCGATAGCTCTGGTTACGCTTTATACTTTTTCGATTTGGGAACGTCGGGATTTTAGAAAAAAAAATTATATGCTGTAGGACATGGTATGTTATCGTTTTGCACTCTGCATGAGCAAAAAGGCTTGCAGGTGAATATCTGCTGAAAAATAAAAAATACGAGGCATATAATACTCCTCACACAAGAGAACCTGTCATCTATGACTCTGGTATATAAAAGTCTCAAAGGGCCCTTAAAAATAACTTTTATATTCTACATGGTCTTCGCTTTCTTCACTTGTCGCGGTCTCCTTTCATCATTATACCAGAACTTTTCTAGCAGCCCGAGCAGGAAAACAATTGCCAGGAAAGCGTCTATGTCAGAGCTGCATAAAGGCTGTTAACAATAGGACTGTTTGGGGAATACAATATTTTAGTGAGCTGTTTTCACAGCGGTATTTGTGGTTAAATGCCGCGGCAGCATGCGGTAGAAAACAGTCCAATGGAATGAGGCCTTTGCCTTTAGTGTGTGGCATGGTGGTGAAACTAAGTGGTCGTCAAATGTTGTCAATTTTAATGGAATTTCTTTCTTTCTTTCTTTATTAGTTTCTTTGTTTTTTTGTTTCTCTCTGTTTCCTTCTGGTTCCTTCTATGTCTCTTTGAAACACATGCCTGTGTGGATTTGATTTTAAAAACTTTCATCTGAAACAAAATATTATATAATTTTGCAGTTTCTAGAGGCACTCAAGCTTTGGAAGTCACCAAATTTTGGTGGCCATTTTCTCACTAATTTTATCTATGATGCCGGGTGACCCCCCCACCCCGTCTCCTAAACGGAAGCCTGCCAATTTGTCACAAGCCCAGTAAACTGTTTTTCACTGGTCCAGTTTGTCACAGGCCGCGACTGTGCCCAGTATTACGGAAGCTACCACTGATACTCTCAAAAAGAGTAAATGAATGCTTGATTGTATGAACTAAATTTTTTTTTTAATTGTTTTTAACGAAAGAACATTCACTGTTGAAATTTTACAGAGTAATTTGCTTTGGTTTGCATACAAAAAAGGAAGAAATATTGAAGAACACAAGCTGAATTGACATTTTAGAGGGACTATCTCTACACCACCAATTTGAAGGTGGAGAATAAAAAAAACTTAAGTTACAATGACAGTGTTAAAAGTACTGTAGTTATGACAGTCATCAATACACAAATACTCAAATGAAATTGTGACACACTGAACCTGTGACAAACTAGGCAGCCCCCCTCCTCAACCCCACCCAACACACCTTCCACTTTCTTCAATCACAAATATATCGGCTCCTATTCAAGATAGATGGGTATTTCTATTCACCAAAAAGTAAGCAAAATAACAGGTTTTAAGGTGATACCAATAACTCAATATGCACCTAAACTGACGAGGGCCTGATTCCACCCTGTCGTGACAAATTATGTGTCTTGCGTGCTACTACGAAACGGGAGTTTTGCCAGAGGCAGGTGCAAGCTCTAATAGTTTGTGCTGCTGTGAACTTGCGTGGAGGCATGAGCGTTTTTGAGAGAAGATATTTTATTTGGTCTTGCAAGCAGTAGTTCTGGCATTTCAGAAACTTCAGACGACCTCTGACGGATTCAATCATAAAAAAAGAAATGTTCACAATTTGAATTGAAAAGGGAGAATCATGGCACCTTTTTGTGGTTCTTGTCAATATGGGAAGGTTGAAGCTACACGAAGTGTGAAACTCACACGCAAATGTGTGGGGTAGATAGTCAAATAGACTGAGAGACAGATAAAGAGGAAGACAGCAAGAGAGAGAGCAAGACAGGGAGAGAGAGAGCAAGAGAGAGAGATAGAGAGTGTGAGAGAGAGAGAGAGAGAGAGAGAGAGAGAGAGAGAGAGAGAGAGAGAGAGAGCAAGAGAGAGAGAGAGAGAGAGAGAGAGAGAGAGAGAGAGAGAGGGGGGGGGATATACAAGTACACAAGCGATTTATGTTCAGAGCAAATGTCGAAACAATACACTCACCGGCAGCTTTCAAAAATTCATCAACTTTTTCTGCTTTAGGCTCTGCGATCCAGGTACCTGATATGCAGTCCATGGTTTTGAATTAGGGAAGGGGTTACAAGAACTGTAAATATCTTTAGCACGCAGCTGAAGAGTAAAAGAAAAATAATTTTTAGAGTAGACCTTTGTTCACAATTGTCGTCTATACGTTAAGATTAAGTTGAACAATACGTTCTCTTTCTTCAGTGTCCTATTTAGTTTATAAATGCTTAACTTAAGATATTCTAAAACAGTTGCTGCAACAATAAAACAAAGTATGTTCCACATACATTTTCAGATTGTTTTTTATTTCCACAACTCAAAGGGCATCGTGATATAAGGGGGATAAGATGACAGAATGGAATTGTTAGCTGTCGCTCTTTTACAGTGCTTGCCAACCTGGTCTGTATCGCCCACTAATCGGAGACTTGATCATTTTGGTGCTTGTGGTTCACCCTGATAGAAAGAAGTAAAGTTTAATATCCCCCTCCCCCTCCCGTGAAAATTCCTGAAGGTGGGCGGTATGAAATTAATTAGCTTCTTAAATGTGACACAAGTGGGCATTAGCTCTAAACCTGTTGTTGGGCACTGCTTTTGGTACAAAAAATTAATTTAGATGAAAGGTCACCTACTTTAGTAGCAAAAGGTATGTTATGTGGGCAACATACTGTATAGTATCCTACCAAAATAGTTACAGATATGCCTACAGAGTAGAAAATAAATGCTACATTGCGTAATCTTAATAAATGTTAATTCGCTTAATCTTAATAAACGTTACTTTGCTTATCGTAATACACGTTACTTGGTGTGATGTAATAAATGTCATTAAGTGTAATCTTAATAAACCTGTCTTCAAGTTAAATCGGCACCAAGTGATCAAGGCTGTGGACTTACCAATACCCCGAGTGTCGTCTATGTAAATGACGGAGCTGGCCGCAGTGCCCTGCATGTATTAGAGTGTGTGCAAACTGACCTGATTTACTTATCAACACAAGCGGCTTATAGACTGCCGGTCCTCGGTATTAATGACGCGAACAGCCTTATTGATTTCGTTATATAAGCGGGGCTTCCAGTGCATTTCTAAGCTTTGGACTTTGTTTTAAGATTTTTATGTAAAGTTAACTGCGGTGTATATTATGCGATATTGGCCACCACGTTCTTCAGGTTAAAAAACATACACTTAACAAATTAAAACAAAACAAAACAACCCCCCCCCCCCCCAGAGAGAGAGAGAGAGAGAGAGAGAGAGAGAGAGAGAGAGAGAGAGAGAGAGAGAGAGAGAGGGGGGGAGAAAGAGAGAGAGAGAGAGAGAGAGAGAGAAAGAGGGGGGGGTTACAAGCAAAAGTGAACATTCAATAATATTTTTCAGCTGAAACGGAGTTTGGAGTTTGATGAAGGTATAGTGTCATATACATGTGCTTTGCCTCACAAAGCAATGCATATTTCCCCTCACCTCCTATTATCCACTGGAAACATTGATTCCACTTTTAATAAGAATTTTACGGCACTTGCAACACAAACAGGTCATACAAATACAGAAGGTAAGAAGAGCTGTTATGAGAGAGTAACAAACGTAAAAAAAGAAGGATTGAAAAGGGCGATAGAATCAGACGTTTGACAGGAAAGAAGGAGTAAACCATATCTAGATCTAGGCACCCGCTAAACACCCATAAACATTATTAATTATCTTTTAGATTACCTACTTTAAATCGACATAATCGTCTCCTCCCCACTTTGGTTTCAGGTTGGTAGAACGTCCCGTGAAAGACGATCCTAATTTTTTAGCAGCGTGACTTGATACTACTATTCGTTTAAATTAACATTAAGTAGATCGCAATAATTAGTTTTCGCCAAAAAAAAATCAAGAAACAAAACAAGCGAGCTGACGAAAAACAATGTTATCAGCGGCTGCGGTCGAATTACCACCCAACCACCACTGCAACACAGCTTCTAAATACATCAGCAACAGCAACAACAACAACAGCAGTAACAGATCGTTTGTACAAAATTTGATATTTATTATTTTATCTACATGGAATAAATGAATGATTAACAACGACGACAACGACGACAAAGACGACGACGAGGACAACAACAACAACAACAACAACAACAACAACAACAACAACAACAACAACAACAACAACGACCACAACACAAGCAGCAACAGCAGCAGCAGCAACACAAGTTCCGTGTTTATATAATCCAATATTCATGATTTAATACACACGCTTTAAAGGACTTACAATTTTCGTTTCCTCTCTCAGAAGCTCGCTATCACTGCTTAGCTCTTCAAAGCTTTCTGTATTGGTAGGCTAGAATGAGTGTTTTCTGTCTAGCGTAGGTTTGGTAGTGTTCCAATTCTCACTGGATTATAGGGGTCGACGTCTTCGGACTAGAAGCTCAAGTTTCGGACCGCCCTTATAGTTATAAGCTTGATAATAATAAAATAATAATATATAACATTTATATAGCGCATTTCCAAAAAAAGTAGCTCAATGCGCTTTACATTGGAATACCCATTTTTCAAAAACCTTTCTTACTACTTCCTTTCTTCTCAAGCAATATACAATAACGCACACACACACACACAAACACATACACACACACACACACACACACAGACTATTTTCATCCAGACATAGGAACAGAACAAATATAATGAAAGATAACGTTAAAAGCTTATGAAGGATAGGCCTGTAGGAACAGAACATGTTTAAGATGTCTTTTGAAGCTATCAAGTGTTCTTATTATGAAATGCTGCAATAACTGAAAATAGGCCGGTCTATTCGGGTGGAAAGAAAAACAATTATGACTATGTACTTAATCGTATTAGAGATTGTACTATTAGATCTCTCATCAGTAAGGGTTATATTTTTAGCTCAGGTAGTCCAGTGGTTAGGCTACTGGACTCGTAATCATAAAGTTGCGGTTTCGGGGGTTCGAGGCTCCGGCCCGACGTTGTGTCCTTGGGATAGGCTATTTACACGAATTTTCCTCACTTCTCCCGGCTCTGAATGGGTACCCGGTCATAGCCAACTAAAATCCAGTACGTTAGTATTTTGGCGCTGGCATTTTATGCTTCCCAGAGAGTGCCGTTTTTTTTTTCAGAGTGCTATCTATATAGTTTGTAAAGTGCATAGAGCTTGCTGTTGAGCGGTAGTTTGAGTTATTCAAATGCTCGGCATCATTATTTATTAATGATCATTGTTATGGAGGCAAATATAGTTCGTCCATCAAGAACTGATGATGATCTTGAACATCCTTAGAGAAATAAGTTGAAGAACTTGGAAAAGAGAGTAAAGTAAAGGAATTGATCTCGAGCAACCTGTATTGATCACAACGCCACAACTTTCAGCAGATAAAGGCGCCTTTCATTTTCCTCAAGTGGAATACTAATATGTCTACACAGTATAATATGATTACACATGCAGTTGGTCAAACCTTCTTATGGCTTCGATCGAAACCTACGAGGGATTACTCTTTTTGAGAAGAATTTTCCACAAGCAGAATACTTGTGGTCCGTTGGGACAATGCCAGTGTTGTGGAGGTATCGGCTATCAAATTATGTGGGGCACTGTGTTCATAAATACTACTGTCAACAAACCTTGGAATACCTTGAAATAGTTACTGTTGTCAAATTACATGTATATATTAAATTTTCAAGAACTCCGAGGACATCGTGCTGTACACGTATTTTTTTAAAAGTTTTCAGCAATCATTTCCTTAGTACAGTTAGCAACAAATCTTGAGGTTTCATTAATGTAATGGCATAGTTTTAATTAAACGAGCCTAAGCGAAAGGAAATTAAGCCATATGCCACACTGAAGCTTATTTTAAAGGCTCGGCCTCCAGATTTTATATATATATATATATATATATATATATATATATATATATATATATATATATATATATATATATATATATATATCTCCGACAGGACCGGGCCACATAGGAACATCCATGTGAAGTGCCTTTCCCTAGAACACTGTTTTGGACTGACGTGAGTCTCGAACCACCAATTACACAATCTCACTATTACGAGTTTAAATATCTTGGCAGCACTTTTTCTGAAAACGGGTCCATAGACAGAGAAATAGAAATGCGAACTCAAAAAGCCAACGCTGTCACCTTCCAGCTTGCACCCCTCATATCTCATCCAAACATCTCCATGGACATAAAGAGACAGCTTATCACCCCAATATTCATACCAACATTATATTATCAGTGCCAGACCTGAACTTTAAGCAAAACACATGAAAGCAAAATCACCGCATGCGAAATGAAATGTCTCCGCAAAACCCTTAACATTACAAGACGAGACAGGCAGAGAAATTAAGAAGTAAAAGCAGCTATCGGCATTGAGTCCTGCCTGCGTTACATAGAAAGGCAGGATAAAATGGTTTGGCCACCTCTACGCATGTCACCTAACCAGCCATCCTCGAGAGCCTACAAAACCAAGCACTCAGGTTATAAAGTGAAGAGGAAGGCCACGGAAAAGGTGGATCGAGGGTGTCAAGGAAACCCTAAGAAAACATAACATCACAACTGAAAGAGCCGCGGAGCTGGCCTACCATAGAAAACTGCATCTCCCCTCGACGCTTAACAGCAACAGAGGATGAAAAAGTAAAAAGTAAAAGCAAGTACTATTACAAGTTCTGTAAACTAACCACTTAACTATTGAAGCAAACTCAGCCTCAGCACGGCATAGGTTGTTTACAGCAAAACCAGCTATAAATATAATTGAACCTAGTCTTGCAACTACTTGTCCAAGACAATCACCGGTACAAACCACACTTTCCACTTTCCTTGACTTTATTTGTTTCTGTATTATTACTATAATGGCACTACCAAAGACGTTGACCCGTCTGACAACAATCAATTAATATAGACCCACTTTAGCAACCATCCGACAAATTCATAATATTGTATGTTTTAGCATAACACAATATCTTGACTGGTCAACGTCTTTGATAGTGCCATTATTGTAATAATACAGAAAAAATAAATATTGAAAATGTTTAATGTGTCCCACGCCCTCATAAGCCCATAGTATGCAATTGTGAGCGCCGTAAAACACAACCCCAAAAGTAGTAATAGTGGTAGTAGTATTAGTAGCAGCAGCAGTTATTACTGAGATAATGAGCTGCCCTTTTAAAAGCCTGAGAGTCCTGACGGGGCAGCCATAATCACTCTTTTGTGAGGACAGAAAATTACAAACTGTGTGTGTGAATGGTTGGTTTTGAGGGAAGTTTCAGTTTTGAAAAAAAAATTAATTGTATAGGACTACATTTTTAAATAAGAGGGTGTGGAGCGAAAGGGTTAAGGTTTCAGAATTAATTAGGATTACAGATGGAGGGCGTTTTTGACCGTGCTGAATGATCGCTTACATAAAATGTGATACAAGTAGATCTTTTTACAGTCACTACTGACTCATGCAGATATCACCTTGCCTCCGTTACTACCACCCCTACCGCTACCACCACCATCACCATTATCATCACCACCGTTACCACCACAACTACCATCACCATCTCAGCCACTAACATCGCCTCCACCACCACTACCACTACCACCACCACCATCATCACTGCCACCACTATCGCCATCACCATCGCCACAACCATCATCACCACCTTAACCCCTAACACCGCCTCCTCCACAATAACCAATACCACCAATACCACAACCACCATCACTACCACCAACCAGCCGCAACCCTAGCCTTTCTCAGTCAGCAAACCCCCGGGGCGGTGCCACTGACTGAAGTGTCTTTAGGCCATTCCCAAAAGGGGGGGGGGGCATTTCTCGTTGTAATGCACAGTAGAACTGTAAATGGGCTGATCCTACAATATCATGCTCATGACTGTGCCTGAACTACAACAGGGAACTGCTGCTTTTTCTTTCCTAATCCATACTATCGTAATATTTCTCTACTTCTTTTGAATGTTTGTCACACTTTTGTGACCCGCTATTCCCGGGGTGCCTTGATAGTCAAAGCAGACTTTGTGCTATTGAAGCTAGAGAGGTGAGCAGAGTAAGTCTGACTCCCTGCAAGGCTTTCTCTTTTGACACCCACCCCTTGGCGCTCATAAGACCTTATGCAGTTACGAGCGCCGTAAAACCTCTACTAAATCAAACATCAGTCAACAGCGGTGATCATACATTAATTTTTGTAGGAAGGTTACACGCAGATCCTTTGTTTACGTAGCTATTGAATTGAGGTAGTTTGTGAGTTTCCCTGTCCCTCTCGTTAAGGTTTAGTTTGAGTAAGAGTCTTGAATTGAATTGATTATTGCCTAAGTAAGCTACCCAATTAAAAAGTCTGAGGATCATTAGAGGAAGAGTCATATTCACTCTTTTGTGAGAACACTACATCTATTCATACATTGTTCTGGCTCTTGTTACAAAACACATATACACACATACACACACACACACACACACACACACATACACACACACACACACACACACACACACACACACACACACACACACACACACTCACACACAAACACTCATACACACACACCCACATGGCGTGTCCAATTCTTATTTAACCCACATTCGAGTAATTCTTGTCTGCTCTCCAACAGGACAGGACAAGTGACCATTTGAACAACGTCACCAATTGGTGGTGGCCCCATGTGTTTTGTTGTTGTTATTGTTTGTTTGATTTTTTTTGGTTTTTTGAGTTTTTTGTTTGTTTGTTTTGGGTGGGGGGGGGAGGGTTCAAGAGGGGGGGGGGTGGGCTCTTCACTTATTATTTTTTGATAGGGTTGGTGACAAACAAATAGCTTCAAAATCTGGTCTCTACATGCGAAGAGAGTGTTAAAAGGTTATCCTCCCACCACTCTCTCACCCTCCTCCACTTCCAGGGACAGCCGAGAGGAGCTAGAACAGACGATAAAAGCTAGAGAAAAACTAATTTACTGACTTCTGAAGTACTTGCAAACAAATAGATCTATTCTTTGTTTTTCATATTCTCTTATTGTTTCGTCTAAGTGTTGAACAATAGCTCTGGTAACTTACTCACGTTTTTATAGCCAAAAATTGTATGATACTAAACATAATGTAATTAAACGGCACGTGAAAAAAAAAACATGGGATAAATAAAACATATACAAATTCAAAAACAAGAGCAAATGCGCTGAGGCAGTTATTGAAACTGGTGCTCTTTCTTTTTTTAAAAACTGGTTTAGAGGCGGATATTTTAACTTCCCTCATGAACGTTGACGCATCCCTGATGATATCCATCTTTAAAAGGACACCTCAAACAGCCCTTTTAAGTCTCTTAGCAAACTGCACATTTGCCAGGCATCACACCAATAATACTTTTCACAACATATTATTGTGTTCTGGGAAGTTGAGCATAATACGATGAGAGAGATACACACAAATACAGAGAGAGAGAGAGAGAGAGA